GCCACCTCCTGTGCCAATGTTGTTCCACTCCCCACTTAGGGGGTGGGGTGCAGCTTCCACTCACTGGTTAGAAGACACCACTGCCCACCCCTTACCCCTCCCCATCTTGTGTCCTGTGCTCCTATCTGTCTGTCTGTCTGTACTCCCCTAGGAGAAGTATTTTGCCACCTATAAAACTGCTGTCCTGTCCTTTGTGGCTGCTTCCAGAGCCTGCCTCTTTGTTACTGCCACATGGTTCCCAGCCCAGGCATGTAGGAGCCGCTTTCACACGGGGAGTGAAGGGGTGGATGCTGAGAATAAGCTCAGATGGAGATGTGATTTGTTTTGCAGCCTTCAATGCATCACATTCAATCCCAACAGAGCTGCGTGACCAGTCTTAGCCTTCCACTCAGGTCCCAACCCCCCTACCTTGCCATCTCCCCACAAGTGGGTCCAGGGGAAATGGAAGCTGGGGCTGAGCAGGTGTCACTCAGTGAGAGATTCAGACCCACTGGCACAAAGTCTTAAAGGCACACGCTTGTTTTTCTGCTCCTGTGGGCTCAGCTGTCCCTCCCCCACCCGAAGGGAGGGAGGGGCTGAGCTCCTTTCGGCTCCCTGCCCCACTGATGCTCTTAATGACTGGCTGGACTGATACCCCCACAAACTACCCCCACCAAGGCCTAGCCCCTGGTAACCACCTTTGGTGGGGGTGAGGGGGCATACTTGTGTAGGGGACAGAGAGAATGGGGGACACCCTCCCCCCAGTCCCATTATGAGAGAAAGAGAGGCCTTTCACGAGAAGAAAGTCAGCAGGTAACTGTGCCTGTTCCTGTCATCCCCAGCTGGCAGGATGTGGATTTCTGCCAGCTGTTGCTGCAGTCATCTGTATCCGGCGTCACACAGCATCCACCAATCACGTCTCCGTTCTGGAGGGCTAGAGCTCCTGGGTCCTTCACTTGAATGCTCTTGCTGTGTGTGTGTGTGTGTGTGTGTGTGTGTGTGTGTGTGGTGTGTGTAGGGTAGCAGACATCTTGAGGCCCTACAGATGAGGAATTGACAGATCAAAGAGATGAACTAGGCAGGCCAGTGGCCAAGTGGCTGGCCCAGGGTCACCAGGAAATTCATAGCAAAGCCAGCACTGCTGGGATTAGAACCCAGTCTCTCAGTCTCTGCCTTCCAAAGTAGTGCTCTTCCCACTGCCTTTCAATGCAATTAATCACTCATCTCCTTATTTATTTATTGGGGGAAAAAAACAATTATTGAGCATCTACTGTGTACCTGGCACATGTCTGAATGGGAGCCACAGATAAATTCCAATTCAGCACAATGAGCTCTCTGATGCGGGAAGCACTGGGTATTGTGGTAACCTGGAAACCTAGGAGACGCTTCCTGGAGGAGGTGAGTCTTGGTGGAGTCTAGAAGGATGGTTAGGAGTTACCTGGGCAGATAAGAGGGGTTAGTGTTCAAAGCAAAGGAAGCAGGTGACATGCATGTCATGTTCTGGGCGCTTGACTAGCGAAGTGTGCTCTCAGGCAGTGGCCAGAGGAGCAGGTTGCAGTGGTCCTTGAGTCATGTTAAGGAGTTTGGGCTTTGTCCTGAAGCTGGTGTGCAGACATGGAAGGATTTTAAGCAGCAATGGAAAGATTGCCTTGACTGAAGTTTAGAGCATAGATTGGAGGACCTAGCCTGGAAACAATTGCAATGTACCAGGTGAGAAGCGAGGAAGGTTTGCATTAGGCCACAGCAGTGGGATGGGAAAGGAGGTAATGACTGCTAGAGACAGTTACAATCAGGATGTCTTGGAGAGCAATTAGAGGTGTCCAGTGAGAGGGAGGGAGGAGTCTCGGGTGACTGTGGGTGGTGGTCTTCCCAGACATAGAGGAAGCAGATGAGAAAACCAAGTTAGGGGCAGAGACGCTAAGTCCAGCTTTGGACAAGGTAGGTTTAAGGTGCCTGCGGGACATTTAAGAGATGAGCAGAAGACAGCTGGGTGCGTGATCTGGAGCTCCACAGAGAGGTCTGAGCAGGAGCCTGACATTTTGAATTAAGGGCAGGGATTGTTAACTCCAGTTTACAGATAAAGCCCAGAGAGGTTTAAGCTGCTCGTCCACAGTTTCACAGCTGCAGAGCAGGGACTTGAGCTCAGATCTTTCGATTTGAAGTTTTGTTGTAGCTGTGCCCCCCAAGTCCAGTGCTAATTCCCCTGTCCCAGGATGCCCCAGCTTCTGTGGGAGTGGGTGTTGGGGAGAAAGAAACAAGTGTCTGAACATGTTCCTGCCTCCTCCCCATGTGCCTTCTGCCTGAAATTGCATTCGTCCAGAGCTTGCAGGCTGGGGCATTTCTAGGTGGCTCAGAGATATCAAGAGATGGGGAGAGAGAGATTCTTGTTTCTTGGTAACCACAAGCCCTCAACTGACTCTGGCTGCACACTCAGCACTTTGGTCGTTGTCAACAAGTTAGGATTTCAACAGCCATGAAGTGGGCTGGGGCCAGGCCCTCAGAGGCTGCTAGTACAGTCACCTCGAGAACTCCTGCCTGGCAGGGTGCTGATGGGGACTGAGGTGGCTGGGGGACTACCTACCTGGTACCCTTCGCCTCCTTCCCTGCCTAGCTTCTTCTTCCATCAGGCTTTGCAGTGGGTTCTGCCCAGAGTGAGCCGAGGTGGTAGAGGGCTCGCATCCTAGATGTGACCAATGGCTTCCATCATTCTAAAATAAAGTGGGCTGAGCTGGGACCACCATGGCTCTGAGGTGAGAGGGATGGGCCAATCTGATACCCTAGAGAAAAGTCTTAGCTCCAGTAAACATCTCCTCAGACAAGTGTGTCTTGGTTCCCTTCTAAATTAGACCATCCCACCTACTGGCTCTCAGAGTTTTTTTTTCCTTCTTAGCACACACCACATTTTGCGATGTATACTTGGGTATTTGTCTCCTCCACTAGACTATAAGCTCCATGAAGATGCAGGTTTCCTGATTCCTAACTCATATTTGTCGAATGAATGAATAAATAAATGAATGTCCCAATGATCCAGGCTCTGGACCTTGAATGGGAAGTGGCTTCTTGACTGTTTACTGAATGTGCTCCCAGCTAGCAAGGTGTCACTTTCAATTCTGCATTTGGGGGTGGCGAGGGCAGGATGCGCTGACAAGTTCTTTTCCCCCAGGAAACAGATGGTTAAAATGCTTAAAGCATTGCAGCTTCCCGCAGCACCCTCTGTACCCTGTTCCTACCCCAACCATGCACAGCCCAGCTCCTTCTTTCCTAGGACTGAAATGGAATCAGCCCAGATGGACTCTAGAGGGCAATGCTCCATTTCTAACTCTTGGCACCAAGCTGGGTGAGATGAAAATTCTGTATGTAGTGAAATATTTTCCCTCTTCTCCCCACAAACTTCCCAGCCTTCCTCGCTCCTCTTTAAACTTGTGCTCACATTCCATTTTTTAATACTCCAAACACCATTCTTCAGGCTGTAGCTTAACTCATTTTACTTCGGTCCTGCAGCACCAAATCCCAACTGTGTGCCAGACACTGGACTAGGCATGAGGGAGGGGGGTGTACACAGATGAACAGGACGTGAACCCTGCCCTCTAGGACTCACACTTGATTAGGAGAAACAGATACTCCAGTCCACAGTCCCAGTGTACAGAGAAGTCCCATTTGGCTGGAGAACCAAGCCAGGGCTTGGGAAGCAGGTGGCTTTTACGGTAGATGGCAAAAGGGTCTCAGGAATCCTTCTGGCTGAGAAGACCGTGAAAGGCAGTCCAGGTGGAGGAATGCAGAAGCAAAGGCACAGTCAGAAAGAGCTGGGCATGTGTGGACCAGGACCAGTGAGTTACCCCATTGGAGGAGAGCATTGGGTGATAACCTGGGAGATAAACCTGCAAAGGCAGGTGGGGGTTACTCATGGAGGCTATTGAATATCAGGTTAAGAGACTGATCTGAATCCAGTGGGCAATGGGGAACCATTGAAGGTTTATGAGCTGGGGAATAACAGACTCTGAGCTGTGCCATAGGAAGGTTAATAGGGCCATGAGGAGGATGCCGTGGATAAAGGGGAGGCAGACGCAGGGAGATCAGTTATGTGGGCATTACCTCAGTGGAGGAGAACAACAATGGGGCTGTAGGAGGCCAGCGGCAGCAGGATGGAAGGAGCTGGCTCTCCTGTGTGGTGACTGGCCTCCTTCTAGCCACCTCAGTCTGAGGTTGCTTTGTCTCTCCACTTCTCTTTTTGATTCCTGGGTTTCCCCAGTTTAAGCAAAGAAGGAATTTCACAGACAACAGCATTCCCCTCCTCCAGCCTGGCCCTCTGGCTCTCTCTCTCCACCAAGGTTCTCCTCTGCTGGGTCTTAGCACCTGGGGATCCCTCTGTAGGGCTCTGGGGGCAGATCCTCTTCTTGCTTCATTCCTGTCTTCAGATGTCCACTATCAGGGATCGGGGAGCTGCACCTGATCAGTCAGTTAGGGAGGGCAGTGCTGATTTCTCCTTGGTCATTGGCACCATGGGACCTATGAAAGGAGGGGGACCCTGCCTTCTCCAAGGGGAACTCACTCTAAGTCAGCCCACAAGACCCACACTAATGAAACAACCAGAGGACTGTTGAGGGTTAGAATATTCTGCTAGCACGGAGAGGATCAGCTGTAAAAGATGGGCCGCTAGAGGCTTTGCCTCAGTCTAGGGCCCCTGACATAGCGCTGGGAAGGAGAATTGCGATTCGGGGCAACTGCGTTGTGGGGCAACTGCGCTGAGTCTCACTTGTTTCGGGGTGGGGAGCATTGCATCCAGAGAACTCTTAGGAGTCTTCTCAGGGCGAGGAAGAGGGCGCGAGAGGCTGGGACCCCATTTGCCTTTCATCTTCAGGGCCCTGGACAGGTAGCTCGTTGTCACCGTGATGTCTATAGCGCCTCGAGGGACCAACGTCGCAGGGGATTCCCAGGCCCCGCCGGTAACGCGTGGGGCTTCCGTGACCTTACAGGCTAAGCCCCGCCCGACCTTCCCCCAGGGGGCGGGGTTCCGAGCTGTGGGGCCTGACCCGTGTCCCCCGAGGCCACCGAGCTCTGGCTCTGCCAGGTTCCGGACGCGCCATGGGACAGCTGATCGCCAAGTTGATGGGCATCTTCGGGAACCAGGGTAAGGGGTTCCCAGGGCATACCAGCGACCGCTCTGATCCCGCTCCCTCCGATCTGGGATGGTGTGGGCAGAGGCGCTGGGGGATCTCGGGCTCCGAGGGTCCTGCATGGGCACTCCCAGCCGGCTCTACGGTCTCTCCTGCCTTCCTCCCCTCTCGCTGCGCCCAGGGCGCAGGGACCGGGCGAGCGTCTTTCCTCCCAGCTGAATGCCGCGGTCGGTGGGGTAGGGGGCCTCTGCCGATGTCCTGCGGTTGGGACTTTGCGCTCGGCTCTTCCCCAGAAGATCCTAGATCTTCCAAACAATCACTTCTCTGGAATTGTGGAGGGGAGGCTGGAGGGGGGGCTCTCAGCTCTCATTTTCACTGCTCGGGAGTGTCTGGGGCCCCGTGGGGGAGGGCACCTGCCCTGTTGTTTTTGGTGGTGGGGAGCAGAAACGGTATCATGGGTAGATGACCCCCAGCCTGCTCGGAACACTTGTCTCCTTCCTGGGAGTCCTAGTGCAGGCACACAGTCCCTTGGTCATCGGGGTGACCCTGACCCTGACCCTGCCCTTCCTCGGCTGCCTTCAGAGCACAAGGTTATCATCGTGGGACTGGACAACGCCGGAAAGACCACCATTCTCTACCAGTTGTAAGTGACTCCCGGGGGACAGGAGAGGGCGGGACATTTCCGCCAGACTGACAGGCATTTGGACCAATCATGGGAGCTCCTTTTTGGGTTCCTAGGTTTTTCCTGTAGGTGGGAGGAGTGATAAGGGCAACTTTGGTGTGATCTTCGTGGTATAGTGGCCCCTCAGTTCAGTGGCCCCTCGGCCTGGCATTCGAAGCCTTGCGCGGTCTGGGCAATTACACTTCCACTGCTCCCGCCGTCTCCCCAGGCCCCGGCCACATGCGGTTACAGGCCTGACCCGTGTCTGAACCGGCCTCTTCTTTCTGCCTCTCTGCTGCTCCCTCCCCCTAGCGGCAGGTCCTTCCTTTCCAAGCCCAGCCTGCTGCCTGTTCAAATTCTCCAGCGTCTTCAAACTCAAAGGCCGACCGCAAGCTCCGGGAGGGCCAGATTTGGGTATGGTTGGGCTAAGGGGTCTCTCACATGTGGTTGTCGATGTTGAGTAAATACCCATAGGAGCTTTTCCCCGTTCACTGTGCGGAAGGCATCTTTCCCATTCTGGAGCCTCTGAAGTATTTTATTTACTAGAACAAAATTTCCCCTGAAAAAGTAATGTAGGTAAACGGTTAAAAAAAGAAAAGAAAAAAATTCAAACAGTACAAGAGTATATAGTGAAAAGTAAGTTTCTCTCTTACCCCTAACTTCCAGTTTCTATCCCCAGAGGTAAACACTGTTGTGACTTCTTGGTAACCTTCCAGAGAGATTCCTTACATATAAAAGCGTGTGTATGTGTTTTCTATGTCACTTAAAGCAAAGCACATCTCTGACGGCCCTTGACTGTGTCTGCCTCGTTTTTCTAATCTCTTGCTACTCAGTGTGATCCACAGACCAGCAGCATCACATCATCCGGAAGCTTGTTAGAAATGCAGAGTCCTGGGCCCCAGTCCAGACGCACTGATTCAGAGTCTGCATTTTAGCAAGACTCCCAGGTGATTCAACTGCATATTAAAGTTTGAGAAGACTGTTCTACGTTTCCCCTCTCTGCGGTCCAAGCCAGGGCAGGGCTTTATCTCGCTCCTGTCTGCCTCTCCCATGCTCAGCACATGGCCTGACCCCTAGCAGGTGCTCGGTCAACCTGGGCTGAGTTGGTCTGAGTTAGATTCAGCCCACCCTGGGAAGAGGAGTGGGGGCTAGGGCTAGGAGTGGCTGGGCTGAGCTCTGGGTACCCACTCCTACCTTCCCAGTCTGACGAATGAGGTGGTCCATACATGTCCCACCATTGGTAGCAACGTGGAGGAGATCATTCTGCGAAAGACCCACTTCCTTATGTGGGACATAGGGGGACAGGAGGCTCTACGCTCCACCTGGAACAAGTACTACTCAAAAACAGAGGTGAGGAGGGCACTGGGGCTGGAGGGACTTCCAAAGCAGCTGTGTGATCTTAGGCCAGCTGCTCACCCTCTCTGAGCTCAGTTCTGTCATCTGTGAAGTGGGGAGCATCATAATGGCCTCCTGGAATTGTTGTGAAAATTAAATAGTAATAAAACAATAGCTGATTCAGATGCATCAAGTACTCGATGCAGCATAAAACAAAACAAAACAAACCCATTGCCATCAAGTCAATTCCGATTCACAGCAACCCTATAGGGCAGAGAAGAACTGCTCCATAGGGTTTCTAAGGAGAAGCTAGTAGATTTGAACTGCCAACCTTCTGGTTAACAGCTAAACTCTTAACCACTGTGCCACCAGGGCTCCCAATGCAGCATAGTGCCTGTCAAATTTTTTGAATACTTCCTGGCGGCTTTGGCTGCTTGCTGGGGGCCCCTTGTCTTGGAAACCCGTCTTTCTTGCTCTGACAGCAGTAGAATTCAGTACTTAATTCCTGGAATGAGACAGACCTGAATTCAAATTCCAGCACTGCCTCTCACCAGCTGTGTGGCTGAGGGCAAGATACTTAACCTGGTTGAGCCTCAGTCTCCTCATCTGTAAAAGGGGATAACAATACTACCAATCCACAGGGTTGTGATGAGGCCTAAATGGAGTAATGGACACCTAGTGCTTAGCACAGCCTCTGACACAGTCAGAGGTTGTGCCGTGTACTCCCTTTGTCTGGATGGAAAAGGAATTAAAATGGGACTAGGCAGTGACATCTTGAGACTGGACAGTGTCTGTGGGGCTGGCATCGGGGCAGTGCAGAGGCCGGTAAGGGAGCACAGTGGGCAGGAAACAAGCTCATTAAAGAGAAAGCTCACCACTCTTGGCTCTCCCTACTGTCCAGTTCATCATCCTTGTGATTGACAGCACAGACCGGGATCGGCTACTGACCACTCGGGAGGAGTTGTATAAGATGCTGGCCCATGAGGTAAGCACCCCGGGGCAGAGAGGGGCCAATGATACTAGCTGTGTGTCCTTGGGGTACCTACTCAGTCTCTCTGAGCTTCATTCTTGATGCCTCAGCCTCTGGGAGCCCCATTTCAGCAACCTGAGCCAGGCTAGTTTATCCTGGTGAAGGGCTACAATGCCCTCATCACAACTGATCATGGAAGCCAGAGTTGCTGGTTCAAGTCTTGACCCCACCTCTCACTCATTGTGGGACCCTGGGCAAGGAATTTCACCTCTCTTTATCCTCAGTTTCCTCAAGTATAAAATGGAGAGGATCTTTCAATACCTAATTCATATTGCTATCATAAGGATTATGTGAACTGGTTGGGAGGGGTTCCATGAGCTGTCAGTGTCACTTGGAGTGGTTGTTACTGTTGGGATAGGGCCTCCATCCAGCCCCACCTGGGCATGGGCTTCTCTCTGCTGAGACAGCTAGTGGGCCAGGGAGGATGTGAGAGGGCCGTGGGAGGGAAGGCTGGCCCTGACAAGCTGACTTTGGCTTGCCTCCTCTTCCCACAGGCTCTGCGAGATGCCTCGGTCCTGATCTTTGCCAACAAGCAGGACGTGAAGGACTCCATGACCACTGTGGAGATCTCTCAATTCCTCACCCTCAGCGCCATCAAAGACCACCCGTGGCACATACAGGGCTGCTGTGCCCTCACTGGCGAAGGGTTAGTGGCTGCCCCACCTGGACCTCCAGGACCTGGCTCAGCCAATGGATGAGTGACCATCAGAACACTTCTGTCTCTCTCCTGTCAGATCCTGGCTCAGAGTTGGCTCCTGGGCTAAGCCAGTTGAGCACATACTCACAGCTGAGATATTGTGGGTATGCAGTGAGCAAGACAAAATGCCTGCTCTGAAGGGGTTTATTCTAGTGGGAAGAGAGGCAAAATTCCTCCTAACTCCAATAATTGCAGGTGCTGATAAGTGCTATGAAGAAAGTGAAATTGGATAACAGTGATAGAGAGTTGCGGGGGTGAGGAGGGATCTGATTTAGCTCCGGTGGCCAGGGAAGGCCTCTCCTAGGAGGTGACTTTTGAGCTAAGACCTGAATGAAGAGGAGACAGCCATGGGAAGCCCTGGGAGACAAACCTCCAGACAGAAATCACTGACTCTTTCTGGCCATTAGTTTCTTTATCTCTAAAGAGGAGCGTGATTGTCTCTACTCTCCTCAGAGTTTCTATAGAGATTAAGTAACATAATTCATTCTACAAACATTTATGGAGCAACTGCTTTGTGCCAGGCATTGTTCTAGGTGCTGGGAATGCAGCAGAGAACAAAATAGACCCAAAATCCCTGCCCCCATGAAGCTTACTCATTAGTGGGCGAGACAATGAATGAGAAAAATATATAGTAAGCTAGTGATAAGTGCTAAGTAGAAAAAATAGAGCAGGAAATGGGGATTGGAAGTATGGGAGGGGGACGTTGCAATTTTAGATAAGGTATCCAGAGAGGGGCCACTGAGAAGGCAGCTATTGAGTAAACACCTGAAGGACACAAGGAATCTAGGTCTAGCATCAGGCTGGGGAGCTGGATGCCTGGGCTGAAGAAAGGGAGGCTTTAGGCACAGTCAGCCCAAGGGACCACACATTGCTGGCAGTGTCCCTGCCGCCTCCTGGCTCAGGAGGAAGCCCCTCAACCTACAGTCAATTCAATTCAACTGGCATTTCCCATGTACCCCCAGGTTCCACACACTGTGCCAGGCAAGTGTTGCTTATTCCTGAGCTGCAACTGGCTTAGCCCAGGAGCCGGGGATGAAACAGGTATGATCAAGACTCCATCCTGGCTCTGGAGTTGCTCACAGTCTAGTGGGGCAGCTTGCTTATGGAGCAGTGCCTTCTGTGATGGAGTGGATGGTGAGGGGGCCATTGGAGCCTTGCCCAGAGACATTGCTAGGGGGCCCAGAAAGGTGGGTCCAACTCCTTCCTCCGAGAAGCCCTCCCTGACTCCCAGATGTCCAGAGGCCTCTGTAAATCTCTTTCTTAACCTCATCACGGTATATAGTTAAAGAATCATTTGTTTAATATCCATTTCTTCTGCTGGACTGTAAGCCCTAGAGGGCGTGTCTATTTTTTTTCACCAGTAACCCCAGCCCCTAGCACAGTGCCTGATGCATAGCAGGTACTCAAGCAGTTCATGTTTGTTGACTGAATAATTTGATATATAACTTCAGCTGCCCCTCAGTCTGCTCTGGGCAGGGGCTGGGAGCTTGAAGACCATCAGACTCATCAGTACACTGATCCTTGTCCTGTTTCTCCCTCCCTGCAGGCTGCCTGCCGGGCTCCAGTGGATGCTGTCTCAGACCACTGCCAACTGATGTCCCAGCCTGAGGCTGACCAGGGACTGAGGGGGTTTTGCATGAACAATGTTGGTGGAAAACTCAAGTGACTATGAGTTTTCTGTATTATCTGGTGGAGCAGGGGCAGCTATGGCCATTGCCACTGTCCTCCAATCCCCACCGAAGAGCTGACTGCACACCCTGAATTGCTGCAGGCAGGGCAGCAGAAAAAAAAGCAAGCGTCCTTCTTGGAGACACAAGGGAAGCTGTTGGATATGTTGGGGGTTAGGATGTGGAGCCCCCTCCCTCAGCACTCAACCTCTCTGTAGGAAAAATGTACAGGACATATTGGGGGCAGAGTAAGAGACCCCTGGAATTGATCTTTATTTCCTAGAACTCTGTCTCCCAGCTTTGTGGCCCCTCAGCCATCTTTGTCATGTACCCTTTGGGCAAAGGAGAGTCCAGAAAGGTGAAGGAATTGGGCTCAGGAGGAGGAGGGAGGGCTGAGCCAAAAGCTGGGAGGGGAGAGCGGGGAGGACAGGGAAGTCTGATGGTGTCTTCAAACTGTAGGGAGTTCCAGTCCTCCCTTCCCTTCCCATTCCCTCTGATACCATGGTATCTTCTTTGCCCTCAGTGTCTTTCCAATGTGAATCCTACTCTTTCCAAATGTGCCAGATTCCTCCAAGTCCTGCCTCTTTTGTCTATCTTTTTGTAGTAATTTTTTTTACATTGTATTAGGATTTTTATAAAAGTATAATAAATACCATTGGAAACTGCTCATCTCTTATCTCTACCTGCCCCGTCTGCCTATTCCTCATACTGGCTTTTGGTTTCTGTGCAAGGAGCTCTGGCAGGAAAAACAAACAAAAATCCTTGGCAATGGGAGGGACCTGCCTCAGGGGTCCATCTGGCTAAGGACTGGCTTCCTGGCCTGGGGCTCCATCATCCTCTGCCAGGTTGGAGAGGGCTGGTACCTGATTTGCCAGGATTGAGAGTCCGAGCTCTGCCTGGGCCTAGAGGAGGGGGTGGTTTAACATTGATTCATGGAGGAGAGGGGTAGGGTCCGTGGGAGTTGGAAAAGCCCAGGAGTTCTATCTAGGTAGAGCTGGAGGCAGAATGGAGTCCCAGGCTGCCTATCTGTATAGAAGGAGCAGTGCTATCACCAGAGAAGACCTAGGATGGTCCTGGGGGCAGAGGGGACTTCCCCTTCCCAACTTAGGCAGTGGACATCGAGGGGTTTAACCTTGTGGCTTTCCTGAGGTGTAATCGATTATGGAGAAGAAGTTAGAAATCCTAGCCATCCCCACCTGGGCTTTGTGTTCTTTGTACTAAATTATCCTGACACATTAACAGGAAAAAGTTGACAATAAACCAATAAAAAAAACCAGTTACTCTCCAGTAGATCGCAACGTCCACTCCCTTATTCCACAGAAATTCATTCTAACAAACAGAGAAACAGGGAAGTGGGGGTATAGCTCAGTGGTAGAGCATTTGACTGCAGATCAAGAGGTCCCCGGTTCAAATCCGGGTGCCCCCTGGGTGTCATTCAAACTTCTCGTTTTCTTAGTCCTCTCGTTCACGCCTCCCTCGGGAGATACCTTACAGGATACGGGATGGAGAGCTCGGCCTTGTCGACCACTTTTGGAGGCGGCGTGAGGATGGAGTCCCTGGCCTTCCCACTCTGCGTGTGACTGTGTTTCTGTTTCTGTGGGTGGAGTGTAGGGAGGATTGGTGGCAAGGAGCTTTGGATTGTCACTTCGTGGACGGGACAGATAGCGCGGGATAGGGGACAGACAGCTCAGGGGTAGGGCGGAGACTGGCTCACCCCCAGGTCGGCCTGGCTAAGAACCCCGACTGCTCTTCCTCAGGGAGGGAGGCTGAGTTTCCAAGGAGCGGGCTTGGTATGGGGAAGGAAGGCCCGGAGAAGCCCGCGTGAGGGAATGGGAGGGAAAAGGAGGCGCCGAGAACCAGCAAGGGGTCTCCAGCGGTTAGGTGAGGGGGACCCCGGCCCAGAGGAATATCCCCGAAGTGAAGAATCTTGAAGGATCCCGAGGGACTGCTCCTCCCACCACTATATCGCATTTTTCTTACACCATCAGTAGGAATTTTTAGCTCAGACCGTTCGGAAGCAACCTCTACCCCCATGTAAATAATCTTGTCATACTCTTTCAGTCTTTTGTAAATGTCCGTCCCCACTTTCCACATCCTTTAATAAAGGCTCCACGGCGCCTGCGCAGAAATAGTCTTAGGAGATTGTCGGCAACCGCGTGTCCAGCAGAGGGGGTATAGCTCAGTGGCAGAGCATTTGACTGCAGATCAAGAGGTCCCCGGTTCAAATCCGGGTGCCCCCTAACTCGTTTTATGAGGTATGAGGCCGAATTCGTTGGCTCGAGGAACAAGTTATTTTCTCCAAAGCAGTTTCTTTTTTTTTCTTTCACAATTTCATGTTGACATTTCCTTTTACCTTCTCGTTTAGGCAGGCGGGGAGCAGTGAGGGAGTGCAAAAACTGGGGAATTTTAGAGCAGTGATTCTTAAAATGTGGTCCCCTAACCAGCAGCATCAACATTACCGGGCAACGTGTTAGAAATGCAGATTCTCAGGCCTCACCCCAGAGCTATTCAGTTAGAAACTTCGGGGTAGGGTCTTGAAATCTGTGTTTTAATAAACACTCCATGTGATTGTGATGAACATTCAAATTTAAAGAGAATTTTTTTCTTTAAGTTACACGTCATTTTCTTATAATGTTTATTTACAAGCTGCTGTCTCAGCCTTAGCCCTTATAATTAAGAGACTTTATAAGACAGTCCGCGGGGCACCCCAGACGGGGGTATGTACAAAGAGACCGAAGCTGGAATTCCATCTTAGGCCCAACCCGACTTCCAGGAAGGAACGAGATACGAACTCGCGGAGCCAGAGCCGGCACCTGGGGGACCCCGCTTGGGCAGGTCTGAGAAAGTGAGGGAAACCACAAAACAGGAGCGTTGCTGCTCTTCACGTGGCCAGTAGAGGGCAGCAAGAAGCCGTGACTGGAAGAGGCAGCCTCCTGAGATCCTGATGGAAATTCTCCCAAACTGGGATTTAAATCGGACATCAAGAAGAACTTACAGGCAGGCTTGCCTTGTCCCATAGTAAGGTAATAGAGAGTATAGGGCTGGAGAAGTTCGTCTCTGGGACGACCTGGATCCTGAGAAAGGAGCAACTGGGATTCTGAGAGATTAGGGAACCTTTAATTCTTTTTGCCTTCCTGGGTCTCTTCTTTGGCCTCAGGGACCCCTCCTCTCCCAGCCCACGACCCTCCTCTTGGGTACTTCCCGCAGTGGAGCTCAGCGTCCACACCCTTCCCCTCTCCCGGCTTTTAGAATCCCTAGCCCCTAGTCTCGTGGAAGCCAGGGTACCCCCTCACGCCTCACTCTCCCACCCTGCAGCCCCGCAGCTCCTTCTCCATCACAGAAGTAGGTCAGGTGAGGAAAGAGGCACCTCCGAGTCCTGACCTGATTCCTGCCGTCTATTAAATCTCCTAAATTGCCGGTATTTTTATTCTGTTCTGTAAGAAAAAAAAAAAAAGCATCTATCCCCAGAGCCTGTTATAAGGTGGTGGCAGGTGGGGTGGGACGTCTCCTTGCCTGGGTCAGGCCCTGAGCAGCCCTGGAGCTCCAGCGAGGAGGGGGGCCTCGGTTACCTTTTGGGGGATCCAGGCTATTTCAGGCTAGGGGCGTATCAGGCCCCTTCCACCCTTTTACCTGCTGGGCTGGGGGGCACGAAACAAGACGGTGTTGTAAATGGGTGTGTGTGTGGTGGGGGGGGGAATAAAGTGGGAAGGAGCCATGATAGGGGGCAGAATTCAGGCCTCTGCTGGGGTGGGAAGCTGGGGGTCTCCGCTGCAAGGGGAGATTCCTGCGGGGGACAAAGAACCGGAAACCTACATAACCCTGAGAAACAGCCCAGAAAGTCGGGAGGCCTGAAGGAACTGAAAAGGGGAACTTCCAGGAGCCCACGGCCGGAGGAGGGGGCGCCCGTCCCTTCCTGAGGTCTGGCCCCTCGGGCCTTCACTGAGTAGCTTTCCCTGATAGAGCAGAGGTGTGGGGCGCTCGGCGGAGAGCTCCCTGGGGGTCCTCTCCGCCGAAACCCCAGTCCTCCGCCGGGCCCCCTTCCCGCGCGCCC